ATATTATGATACTGATCCATAAATTATTAGCATTAAATATTTATATTGCATTAAAATTTGTTTGCAAATACAGAACCTAAGTTTTCAGTTGACTAGAATTTAACTGATAGTTTTTCACTTTAATATTATTCTTACAAGAAAATATTCAGATAGTAGGAAAAAGATTAAAAATACATTGAAAAACTAGCCTATGAATAAAAGTTAAATAATCTCTTACATTAGGATAAAACATGCAGGTGGTCAGTGATAGCTAAGTGTCTAATTACATGCATGTGCGCAGAAATATTAATCAAAACAGGCCCAAAAGCAGTGGCCCTCCCATCTCTGGCACCTCATCTAGTTCCTCCTGAAAGAAAGGGAGGGGGAAAAAACAAACCTTCAAAAACCTTGCAAATGGAGAGGTAAGCCTAAGAAAGCCATTACCTGAGGACAGATTAGTGAAGAGATACTGGGACGTACCCCAGCTTACAAATGTCAAAAGGGAAAGGCAGCAGAAAGAAAGGCATCCTAGAAAACAACATTGCTTCTACCAAGGAGACAGTCTGGAAAGTACATTAACAAGAACCACTTGGTAAAGATGGAGGAAAAACTGCCACCATGGTAACTTTAAAAATAATAATAATGATAACTGTAGGCCTATCGTAAATGACAAATTCTGAAGGAGAAAGACTATTTCAGGCAGCTTTTACTTAAATTAATAATAAGCAAAGGAGTTTTTATATTTCTGCTCCACTTCCCCTTTCTCTCCACCCAACCTCCCCCTACCCACACCTCAGCCCTCCCCTACAGAGTCAACTCCTTTCCATACTCACTCCCGGCTGGAGATAAATCTCTCTGCCACACTAAGGGAGAAACATTACACAGAGTAGAGCTATTGTTTCCTACAGCTCTCTCCCCTTCTACCCAAAATAATGTCACACCTAGGAAGTGGACACTAGTAAATTCAGAAAGCAAAAACAATACTATGGATCAGAATGGGTGAAGGAAACACTGCTTACCCTGAAGAAAGAAGGTGAGAAAATAGACAAAGTACAGAGATGAGTCCTGGAGAAGGTGACCTGAATTACAGCAGTTCTTGGGGCGGTACCCCTGGAGGGTTGCCCTCCAAGTACATAATTAGTGCCAGGCCTGAGAAAAGAAACACTGTTACTAAGTTAATGCAGTAAAAGGGATAGGAGCCAGGGTAGGTGGGGCATGAAAAGTAAAATTTGTTTCTTAATACAGTTGAAATAAAATGTAAAGAGGCAGCTTTCTTCATCCACACACAAGTCCTGGTGAGGATTAAACGAAACCACTGTAGAGATCATCTCAAAGAACCTCTGCTGGCTGTTAGAGTAAGGCCAAAAGAGCATAGATGGCTTCCAGATAAAACCAAATCTGGTTTTAACAATTAAGAGCAAAGCTTTAAGAAAATTAAAGCGAATACTTTAAGGCTCAGGACTTCTTGTTTCAGTGCAATATACTTTCTGTGCTACTGAACATGCTTGATATGCCCTATATGGTCACATGTATACCTACTATGTACTTTGATAACTTCAGTGAAAATTTAACAGACTATGACATTATTTATAGTAAGTATAGTGAAGGACCACTGATAAAAATAATTAAGGTGCCAAATCATGAAATTGGGGCATTTATTGTTAAATACATTTATTTTGTTGGAAAAAAAATTAAAACTTTGCTCTTCATGTTTAAGACGTTTTTACAATAAAGAGCCCCAGTTCTTGAGCTAGACTTGGTACGTCAACACATACCTATAAGGGAGTAGAAGAAACAGCGTTTAGCCTTGAAGGCTTATTCAGAAACTCTTAACTGAAGACAGAAGAAAGGCAAGTTAAATGACGGAAAAGCATTTTAAAAAACTACCAGCTGTGAAAAATGGGAACCCAGTTTTGCTTGTACATGTTTGTTCACCTCACACCAGTTAACTAGAACTTTAATACTTGCTTTAAAAAGGCAGAACAGCATTGTTTCAAGAGATTTTTCCCCTTTCTGAAAAAAATGCAAGAGATAGATGTTGCTACCATATGTACTGACTCTTAAGCAGATGTGTTGTCACATCTGCTTATGACTACACATGATGCAAATCAGCAAGTTTCACCTTTTGTTGAAACAAGTTTTAAAAAAACAGACTTTCCAATTAGTACTAAGGGTATAGCACTTGAGTGCTTACTTGTGTTTAATTTTAGACATTCAACCAAAGAGAAGTACCACTTAATTGCATTAAAAATTCTACCACGCTGTGTTAAGACTTTGCTCTCTCAATGCCAATCTTCAATTCACTTTTAAATGCATCTCTGCAGAGATATGGCTTGTACTCCAAATTTGACCAGTCTTTAAAAGCAGTCAATCAGCACTGACAAGACTAATAAATATGACCATTCCATGAAAAATGTTCCCTATCAGCTCTCAAAAGTCATAGCCACAGCAGGTTTTAAAACCTACTTTTAAAAGGCTCAACGTCCCTCCAACAAACCTGCGCTGCTACATTTACTGGTATCTGAGAGGAGAGATTAAGTATAACTGTTTCACTCCTGTGACCTGGCAGGAAATTCGAGATGGCAGGAATACCATTCTTTTCATTCTTCATGCAAAGCATTTAAAAGGATTTTAAAACTTGAGTATTTGGAACTCACTTATTTAATGACAAGATAGTGTAATAATGAAAACACAACTTGGTTTGTATTCTTTTCTCTTACAGCAATTATACAGGGCTCTTCAATTCACTGACCTCCTCCGCATGCACTTTTTCCATGCAAACTTTTCCCTTCCCCAGCCTACAAATATGGCCAACACATTCCCTCAGCTGAACAGAAGGTGGTAAAATTAGGACCCCTTCAGGCAGCTAATACCACTCAACTGATAGAAGTCACATCCTCACCATATTAATCTGAGAAAAGATCCAGCTGATAGAACAAAAGTAGAAACTGCAATACAGTAGAGGAGAAAATGGGATCCACCCAGTAGCACTTCTACAGGACCTAAAACTACAATTAAGACCTGATCCTATTTGAAAGGCACTAGGATCAAGGCGATGCCTCCCCTTCCTCTGCCATGTGGTATTGGAGAAAGACTGCCAAGAGGCACCACCTAGACCAGAGACTCTACCCCACTAGTACAGAAACAGCCAAAAAACAGAACTTGTGGAAATGCAGAGAACATTGTACAGTTATGACTGAACTTACTCGTCTGCTCTGTGTTAACTGACTGTTTGCACTGACCATCCAACCCTTCTCAGTACCTTCACTTCAACATCACTCCAAACCAGCCCCTCTCATTCCATTCCTTCTTCAATAAGCCCATTTCAAAAAGTCATGCAACTATCATGACATTTTCCTCCAATTAACTTTATTCATGTGTTACATCCCTTTGTGCCCATCTTATCCATTTAGATAATAAGCTCTTTGTGACAGAAATAGTTTACTACTCTGTTCAGTGCCTGGTATAAACTTCTATTCTCAGTTCACCTTAATACATGATTAAGGATAACAACATAGTCCAATACTTTTATGCACATTTATGTAAGCATGCCCCTCCACTGTGTCCTTTGTATGGCATGGGCACTGTATGAACTATGAGGTATGATTCTTAAATTTTAAGATCAAGTTGCCACTAGTTATAAATACTGCTTTTTTGGTGCCATGCAAGACTATAGCACTACTACACATAACAAATATTACATGCACTCAGTACAAAAGCTTGCAAAAGAAGAAAAGAAACAGACCATAACAGAAAGCACTCTCCTTTTATTTTTTTGGCATACAATGTAATCAACCTACTTTTAAAGATTACATTTTGCTTAATCTGTGGCTGATGTTATTCAGTTAGTATCCCAACTGCAAACAATTAAGCTGAAGCAAGGTACTCTGCATGTTTCCATTCTGTTTTAGAATGCTAAGGACAAGAACATTAATAAACCTTTCTGATGCTTCAGTTACTGAAAAGCTGACACTGTCAATTTCTTTTATTAATATAACTGGATGAGCAATTAGGAGAGATCCTGGGCTGCAGGAAATGGACTTACTTCATAATGCAAACCAGTAGCAAGGAGACTCCCAGAAATGCAAGAATTACACATCCTCCCAAACTAATAAAAAGGGAATGACTCACAGCTGCATGAAATCTGATCTCTCAAGTCTCCAGTAAGAGGAAGAGCACATGCTTCTCACCCTACTCCTTAGCTTTAATCAGTAATAAGAGAGAAATGCAAAAGTCAAGAAACAAAAAGAAGATAAAACACAGATCAAGGCATAGTTTATTGGTCTGCAGTACAACACAACCTCCTCAAGCACTGTGCATTAGTCCTTCACTGTAAGTGTTAGAAATTCTTACTAAACGTTACATTTTTTCTGGGAGAGAGCAATACAATATAAACCCAGAAAGTTATAGGTTTTCCCCTACACAGCCAAACACCTGACAGCATATCCTCAAGCACCCTCTATACTCCAAAACATCATGTCCGCACTGAGCACATCATATGTGGTCTTCTTGGTTGCTCTTGGTTCTATCTAGAAATTCTGGCAGAAAAGCAACACATTCCCCAATATATAACTCTGAAATAATACATCGTCTTTTATAAAGACATAACAGCTGTCCACTAGAAAACAGAAGAAATGTGATCAAGAATCAAGAATTAACCAATGTTTAAACAAATGAAATTTATAAAAACATCTCGAAAATGAAAAAGACATGCACTTTAAAAAAAACAACACCCTAAGTGACTTCGGAGCACACAGAGGCTTTTGCAAAATCCTCGAAAATTTTTATGAAGCATAGGTGTCAAGCCTGCAAACACCC